CTCTTCAAGGTCTGCGTTGTTTGTGCAGAGGTGCATAGCATTGTACAACTGACACTTTCCTTCCTCTGAAGTTGAATCTGGCGGTCATTATCCTGGGCGAGATGGCCTCCCATTAAATGAGGGCCCTCGTTGTCGTTGGTGACACCATGATAGCCACGCCCTCGGTGTGCATGTGGTTGTCTTCTGGGTGACTGGAGTAGATCACTGACTCTCCCGTTGACCATTTGGTGAGTCCATTCCCATTGCACCTGCTTTCACATATTCACACTGCTTGAATTCCGTATCTTTTCATTTCGATTGCAATCTGGGTAGCTTTGCCAATCTCATACGTGGTGCGGAAGTTCCATGTAGCCACAGAGATTTTTTCTTTTGACGCCAGGAGACTAATCGTCCTGAAGTTTTTGTAGCAACTTTGTGTAGACCCATCTGATTTCATTCAATCAAATCTTGACTAATTAATGAATCATGTGATGACAAGTTGTTCAACAAATTCGTCACCACCATCTTTACCAGACGAAGAATAATTCGGAGTTCAGGAAGAAAGAACAAATATTGGAGGAATAAAAGCAAAGAAAAAAAAATAAAAGAGAGTAGAAATGATGACAACAGGGGAATACATGACAACAGATTTTCAAATGAATAAAGAAGAACAATACACTGACTCACATCAGAATGATATTTGAGAGGTTGTCCTGTAACAACAGAAGACAAGGGCCAGGCAACAGATTGTTTATTTAGGAAAATCAACACATATTTATAGATTTTAATGTACATTATTGTAGATTATTGTTAGTAGAAAATACACTCTTTTGATTGATTGTTTCTCACAGAAAGTTAACCATGCATCTCTTTGTGGCTGTGTCAGATCATCCATATGCTAACTGTATCCGCCTACGCAAAGCCTTTGTTCTCATTTTCTCACCACCATTATTGGCGACATAAACATTGACGTCAATTACTGTCTACCAACTTTGGCTAGCTAGCAGCCAGCTCTCACCACAGTCCCCCCCACACACAACAGATCTATGATTCCTCCAATCTACGACCTATCAGTTTCACGATCCATCCCGCGATTACTAACTATTTAGTCCCATTTGAGACAAGTTAGGCTCAACACCTTTTACTAGATCTATGCGAGTTGTTGTCTCCTTGAATCAAATGCTCCATTTGTAAGTATACTGGCTTACATTCACATTATGTGAAGCTTATACAAACGCCGTGAAAGTTGATCTTGCATTTCACTTCGCTTCACTTCACTTCACTTCCCAGTAAATATCGAGTTTCGTTTTTTGACAATGGAAATATTACAGATAAGATAGTGAGTGAGATAGGAGGCGCTGTGTCAGTAAGCCTTCTTCAACGGCTCCTTTGCTAGTCGATTTCTTTCTTTCTTTCTTCCTGTTTAACTGAGTGACTGACTGACTGACACGTAGTCTGGCTTGCTAGTATAGTATGGAGAACAGCACTCATGTACCAGCTATCATGATGGAAAACAGTTTTCGCATAAAGTATTTCCATGACACCTTCGTCGCATAGGATAATCCTGGTGATGATTATGATGGTCAGAGAAAAAACAAAACACCTTACCTTCATGGTACCTAATTTTGGTCATCCGATTTACTACTAGAGTCCCGTTGACGAGAATGATTAGCTCATGCATCCCAGTCCACTTCAATGCACAGAAAATCTACATGGACTGGAAAAGTGAGTCATTTTTCAAGTTTCCTTCCCACTGATAGATAGTAAAAGCAATCGAACGAATCACATCTCCCTCCTCAGCATACTTCCCGAGTACTTGTACTCATTCATGATGATGTCAGTGATAATAATGAAGGAAAATAAAAGAGAAGTTGAACACAGAAGGATGAAATCGCCTTAATGAAAACATTTCTTCCTACCGAAATAATTCACTGAAGCCATCCATCATTAGTACATGTTTATTTATGTCAGTCGTATTTTCTTATTTTTACATGCTCCTCTGCTCTTTACCACCTGGCTACACATAGGATGTCAATTGACCAACCTAGCCCACAAACCTCGATGAGCAACACCCAGCTCAGTCAGGCATAGGGAGTTACACAGCCATTTATATCATTCATTTATATCATCATTTACTACACGTGTTAGTAACCTTGCCTAGTTTCCTAGTTCACTAATTTGCTAACTGGTCGTAAGGCGAAATCCAGAGGAAATGGTGGTCGTCCGATTGGTCATCCAACTCCGAAAAATCAATCACTTCATTCAATCACTCCACAAACTTCAATGCACAGAGGATGAAAATGAAAAATAAGTCTATTCTTCTCTGGAATAGGAGAGACGGAATGACGCTGTGGATTGCTGGGAGACTTCGGTAATTCAGCTAGCCGACCAGCCAACCAGTCATTCAGTCAGCCTCTCGGTATCTCATTCAAGCTGACTGACTAATCAGTTGAAGCCTGTAGAAGGTATCACATGAGTTGTTGTTCAAATATAATTTGCATAGTGGGAGAAACGGCATTACATCACATTATCTTTGATGTATCCGGAACATCGAGTAGCAAATCACTTTATACGAATTCGTCCGTTATCATTCTCTCCACTTGATCATGTGACTCACATCACCTTGTTTTCCTTGTTCCATGTTGCCGTTCATTTCACTTTACTGCATCACTCTCGAATAAAACTACATTTCAGTTTCATTCACGAGAATTTACTCAATCACTCAACCACTCACTCACTCCCTCAGTCAGTCAGTCAGTCAGTCAGTCAGTCAGTCAGTCAGTCAGTCAGTCAGTCAGTCAGTCAGTCAGTCAATCATTGAATCAACTACCTGATTTCGACATTCAACCTGACAAATTCTCAATCACTGACGAATGTTCAACTAAATCTTAGAATAAAATCCTGCTCTATTCATCGTAATCGATCTACTCATATTTACTCAACTCAACTCAACTTCATCTCCACTCTTCGTTATATATTCCCGCTTACCCCACCCGACTCAAATTTCCAAATCCTGACTTTCTCCAATAAATGCATAGTGAAAAGATAACGTCACGACATGTGAGATGATGAGGAAGCGAATGGTGAACACGGAAATCCAACATTCAGCCTATAATGCTCGGTAAGTGAAAGGCTTCATTCGTTGCGCACCCGATTCAAAGTGAACTGTTCACAGAATATCCATACCACCAATGTGTGATTTGATCGAGAAACCGGACAATCTACTATCTACGGAAGATACTATACATAGTAATGGACTGTTGCCGTTTTTCAGCTCAACACACATGGGGAGACGATGCAACATTAGACAAATCAAGATGTGTCAGCCAACCCTATACTTCTTATCTACACCTCTCTGTCTATCTCTTTCTCGCGCGCGCTCTCGCTCACTCTGTGTACTTCACAAGAAACAAAGATGGATGCTGTTGAGAGAGAGACTGATTGTAACGTAGGTGCACAAATGTCTGCAACAATGTATTCCTTTATTCCTTCAACGACGGTCACGATCACGATCATGATGATGGTGATGATTGATTCCTGTAAATGTAGGAGTATAATCTCAATAGTCTATGCATGATAAGTATAGATGAGTATAGATGTGTATGCCCACTGACTATATCACAACTCACTCAGTGGGAGGAAAATGTCACCATGACAACATCAGCAGCAAATATATCGTCCTCAAACATACATTTTAATTAGAAGCAGCTGCAACGAAAACAGTCAACAACACTCATCACTCAGACATTTCCGCCTGTCTGCCAGCCTGCCTGCCTGCCTGTCACTCTCTCTCTCTCTCTGTCTATCTGTATCTGTCTCTGTCTGTCTCTCCCTGTCTCTGACTAACTGACTTTCCAACCCACCTCCACTCTGAGTACATTGTGCCAACAATCTTCCTTCCACACACACACCTTGTAAGGCAACTCTCATAAGCGAACCAATTAGTCAGTCAGTGATGAGTACAAATATTAAATGAGATTCACTGTGTCCATCTACCTTGTCACTGGAGCTATTAACTGTTTATCATGCACTGCACTCACCTATTGGCTGGAGATATTCCGACCTAAGCACATCACGTCTCTTGATCAAATTACACATACAGAAAAAACTTCCATGTCCTTTCACCAGTCAGTCAGTCAGTCAGATTTAGTCTCTGATTGAAACTGCCACTACCATAGAACAGCAAGTTGCTAGTGTAGTCCATATCACAACCTATTTCTTCTGACAGTCTCGTCTTCTTCTCACTAATCACTCATGTACTCTCCACTGAAAAAAACAAACAAACAAACGGACAAAGAGACAAACAAACGAACCAAGAAAGAGACAAACAGACAGTCATGGCAAACTAATTCATAGTTTCCCCTATTCCCTTGCACATATTTCATAGAGGAGAGCTGTGGTAATCGTGTCGTGAACATTCGTGCAGCATCAGGAGACCTCGTGAGACAAGTATGCAATAGAGACACAATCATGTTATCAAATGAATCACGAAAAAGACATTTTCATCCTCCCGAGAAATAACTACTCACTTGTGAGAGGAGGATTCTCTCCTCTTTATTCTCCTAACATGGCATATACTTCATGTGCCTCAATTCTATTCTATTTGTATAATCTCCACCCACCCGTTTGAGAAAAGGAAAGAAAACAAGTCATTCTTATATCCAAAAGTGTTGTTCTTGTGGTTCTTCTTCTTGTTGAGATGTTTCAACAGTCAGAAAAAATGCATTCAAGATTTACAAAAGGCATTTGCAAGGAAATCTTATTCCTGGCAATATTTACAGTAATAAGGACATTATTGGCAATATCTGGAGTACAAAAAAATAGTGTTCAGATCATATCACAGCACTTCACACCACATCACATCACACAACTTGACACAACACAACACGACACGACACTAAACCAAACACATCATCATCATCATCATTATAATCATCATCATGAGATCATGAATGGGTTAGTCAAGCGGTGATGGTGGTGATCGGACAACTCTGGTCAGTCAGTTATCATCAGTGAGTAGAGGCAAAATCAAATACACAAAAATGCCCGCAAAATCTGCGCAAAGTGAGTTCACCTTACTAACACAAAGAAAAATAGAGAAACAAATAAACAAAAAAAGGAACAGAAATGCAACAGAAACTAACTGTTTATAAAATAAATAATTAGTTATTATTATTACTATTATAGCAGTGATAGGGATAGTCATTTTCAGACAGTGTGATTTGAGTTTGATCGCTTTTTGTGTAATTTGAGATTCAACTCGCTTGCCAATAGGATATCCCAGGAAGTCACTTGTCGCAATACTGGATCATATTTTCCAGCAATGAAGTAATCGAAGACGTCTCTAGGACTACCATCATAATCACCATTATCTGATAGGATAGTCTCATCCAAGTCAACAGGTTGAATCGATTGTAGACATTGTAAATAATCTTTTATGGATGTTGAAGGTACCTAAAATGAAACGAACCAAGGTGAATTCTATGGCTGAAGATATTCACACATATATAAATATCAAGGAGCTTAAGTGCGAAACCTAGTGTAAGATCAATTCAATTCTCATCCTTGAATCAAGTCAACCTGTCCCGGATCAGCCTAACGTTGTTGCAACCCAATTATCCATGCCTAACGTGTCTATCTCCCCTTGTTTAATGAACTGTGCGTTTTTACTTCGATCCGTTTAGTCAGACAGTTGAACTCATGACCCAATCAGAGTATTTTTGTGAACTGTTATTTTGCTGACCCATGTCTTACTTTGTATTATTCTGTCGAGTTTATCTTATTTATTGATCTTCATCTGTATCAGCCTACCTGGTTAAGTAGCCAATTAAATTCTATCTTTGTGCCTATGCTCTGTCTATCTCTTACTTGGGTTCATTCTTCTACTGACTGCTTACCTGAACGGTCGTGTCTGATTCCGGCTAGTTCGCAATTTTGGCTTTAACGTTATTCCGCTCTGATAGCGGTAGCTTGCTTTCCGTTAAGCGTTGTGCTTTGTACTCTTGAAACCGTTAAGGTTTGTTATATATATAATTATTGATTTGTTTATTAATAGTACCGTAGAAACAGTGACCGGCTTCTTGTTTGTTCTGGACCGGGATAGCCTTTATCTACGCGTGACTTAATTTCAAGCGATATTGCGCTTACAACTAGTCTGATAACACGCTTAGACGACATCCGCATATCTCGTCACTACTACGTGAACAAACAGTCTACTATTTAAGAGTAATAGACACAGTGTCCTGTCTGGTCCAATGTACTCCCCAGTAGGCATTAAGACTTTAGAATATCCATGACTTGTAGTTTCTGTTAAAGACACATGACAATCTGTTCATGTGTACTTATTGGCTGTACAACTATACATTTTTATACATATATCCGAAAATATTTACACTGAGTTGAATTGATTTGCAATATCACTTCGGTCGCAGTATCATAAGTTGTCTGAAATTTTTCCGTTATTATTATTATTATTCACGCTCACATATCAGCAGAATGTGGTAAAGGTGGCATACTAAACTATACTAGACTAGACTGTTTATCACTCGTTTACTAGGCAAAGTGGTTGATATTCTCGTCAGTCGATGATGCAGATAAACCTTGACACTAACACCTTCAAACTGATGATGTTCCATCCAGTGGGAACAATATGTCTACTCTTTGGTCGCTGACGTATTCTTAAAAGAGTGCTAATAATTCATTTAATAAGAGTATGTACACAGTCTTCTCGTTATGACATTACACTCAGAAATTTCTACACATGAGAAATATACTGTGTATGCATGTATGCATGTGTGCATGTATGTATGTGTGTGTGTATATGAAACTTACTTTATCAGTGGAAAGGATTTTAAGGTCGTCTCGCCTCCTACCACATGATTGCAGAAATTCGCCATATGACTTAGCCATTTTCACAAGACGTATAATGCATTCCGCTCCGTTTTCATCTTCATGTTCAGTCGCGAATACGGCACCTTTAACATGCTGAACTAATTGACCATCTTCTCCAGCTTCACGTGGTTCATAATACCTGTGTAGTGAGTAAGTGAAATAAACTCGGATGAGGTGAGGATTAGTTATTCTACCCTAACACACTCCTATCGCTGAAATCTGCTTATTTGTAGTAGTCTCTAGTGTTTTTATCTTATGTGTGTAGAACGTGATCAGAAATATTACTTGTCGATGGATATCGAGTATACACGAAACCAAACTTATAAGTTTATGGTGGTTACCTTCATATGAAGAGAGGAGTAAGACAAGACCAACGATGATAATCCTGATTGTAGTGAGGTGTATTATGCGGCGCCTACTGAGGGAAAATCAGGAGAGAGGCATTCGTCAGACTGACAAGAAAACTTTTGAAGATATGGATTTTGTCTGACGGTTTACATCTAGTGCTCCATGAAGTTGAAGATCTACAGGCGAAAACCCACACGTTGACAGGAGAGACAGGTAATGAAGATAAGACTTCAGGTGAATATGAAGATACTTACTTATCTAACCACAGCAAGAAAAACAAGCATGAATCAATATGAATGAGAGAAACTTGAAGGAAGTCACCTCTTTCACTCATTGAGGCAGAATCATCATTTCAACTACAGTCAAGAAGCACCGATGAGGATGTCAATGTCAGTCACGATTGGAAAAGTAACACAAAGCTTCATTAATCCGAAATCAATGTGGAAATCTACTGTAATCAACATAAAGAGTAAAATTAGAATGTTCAACACTGTCAATTTAGTCAGCACTTCTATGTAGTTCCGGGACGGATTAGCAAGCAACTAGGAACTCTGTGATCCAACCAACCAACGAAACAAACAACGAAGATCCTGTTCCCAGACAAATATTGCGAAGTTGATGGAGATGGATTGGACGCACACTGAATAGACCATTTTCAGGGACATTGCGCGCCAGGCATGGTCTCCAGTGAACTTTGAAGCGAAAGCGACTATTTGAGAGTTCGAAGGTGAGGAGAAAATGAAAGCTTGAGAATGATGGTAGAGGCGGTTGAAGAGGAGTGCAGAGAACAGAGATGTGCTACTGAAGTCCTAGGTCCAACTTGGAACCACAGTGGATAATAACTGTAGATAATACCTTTAAATACCTAACGCTACACACACATACACACACAAACTGATCAATAAACTTGTGTACTGTATATGGAGATAAGTACTCTTCATATTTGGGAACTTTTTCCATTGACTGTTGGGTTGTTCAAAGATATCAGTTCGCGTCCGACCTCTTTTGTCGCTACTGATATACTGTTTTATTGGAAATCACACAAAGCTCAAGTTATGAATAGAATGTATAGATTGGGTCGACTTATTCAATCTAATTAATAATATGCAGGTAATGCATATGCAATCGTAAGTTCCAAAAATCTCAATTCTAACAGTCCAGAAGGAAGGAAGTTCAACCACCTGCCTATTCACCAAGCTTTCAAGAATTCTCTTTATTTATTGAGCATGAATTTCATCAGACTTCACCACTGTTAACCGTCTAACATTATAGAATGACTTAGATTGAGTAGTGTCGACTATCTTGATAGCGTTGACGAAATGCTAGAGACCAGTAATCCACGACTGTCTGTGATTTGGCTGAGAAACAATCTACAGTGATATCTGCATTTGGCTTACATACTTACATCCTCTGCAAAACTTTAAATGTTCCCGCCATCTTCCTATTTCCTAACTCTGTCCAAATCTAATCAAATAAAGTCCTAGTCAAATATTCTGGTAAAAGGGTGTGGATTTCATTATGATTATAGACTGTCAGTTTCATAGTGTAATGCCTACAAATGAAAGCAGTTTGAATGTTTTGGGATGTATTTCGACAGACTCTAGAGACTACCACTACTATTATTACGGGTAATGGAAACAATATTACATATGCAATTATAATAATAACAATAATAGGAATAATAATAGGAATTAAAAATTACCATGAAGTCACCACTGTCGGTGAGTGTTTTTCACCGTTATAACGAATCTCCCGAACTTTTCCAAGGTATAACTCGTCACCATCAGAACGCAGCTGCACACAGTCACCGAGTTCAACAACCAAACCATCCACGTTACGAATAATTGATCGGCAATATGTGCATCTACGTTTACGATGTTTATACTGTTTTTGTTTCACGTGAACAACCATGTAGACGGCCAATTGTCAGTTGGTAAAAAGATAAACAACTCCGTTAAATAACAATCATTAATTAGGTGTATACAGTAAGCACTCTGGGAAAAAGATAGAATATGCAATAGCTTCTATATATGGATGCATTTTATACAGGGTACGTACGGTACATTGTCAGATGATGACATTAGTAGTATTACACTGACGTACTCGGTATAATAATTAATGACTTCAGTTGTTTGTTTGCATTTGACTGAAGTAAGCAGTAAATATTGTTAGCGAATGAATATCTGTGATTCTATTTATTTATTTATTTATAACTGCTGAGAAGAGGTCTTTAGGAGTGATTCGATTTCACACTCGATTCAATGTGATGATTTAATTATCATCACTCGGGGAATATGCCCTAATGTCTAATATGCACTTATTTCCATTTCCAAACAAAATGTCTTTCAGCTAGATTTCTCGATAGGTTATAATTAGAAGCTATGTACATGATAATGTGGTCCAAGTGGTCTACTGGAATTTGGCGTCGGTAATTCAGTGATTGAACACACTTGCCAACCAATCAAGTGGTCCGGTGGGGTTGGATCATCCGCCAATGCAAACCCCTACCTCGCTTAGCAGGTGGTAAGCCTCCCAGTAAGGAGGGAAGATTAGAAGGTTGGCAACACCATTTCTTTAAAAGAATCATTGCTACTGAGACAATTCAAATCTTAAGCTTCAAGCTCTATTTTTTTTCCTTCACGTTCCCCAGTGGAACATAGAGCTTCAAGCTAGTTGGCTTGAAGTTTCTGTAGCAGTGTTTATTTTACAGGATGGGGTTGCAAGCCTCATGCCCAACCTTTCCTCTTTACCAGAATTATTTCTGGCTCAGCGAGGTAAAGGAGTGCGTCGGCCGGGGATTGAACCCCGGACCATGTGCATGGTCGGCGAGCGTCCTAACCGCTATGCCACCGAAGCTCAAGCTCTGTTATTCACTAGGAACGAAAATGAATGAAATTTAAAAAGATTATAATATATGAAGACGGATATTTGAACAGTGGTTGAACTTTGTAGTAGGTAGGTGAATGAAGAGGGGTAAATGCCGAAGATTAAATAACGGTCGAAGGGTTCACCAGTAACAAGACCTAATGTTCCTTCGATATATTCGGTATCAGATCATAAGTGTGCACTGTAAGGTACCAAACAACTATCTGGAATGCTATTCCTTCTCTCCACACTACTCCCTATATCGCGTCCGTTCTAAATATGATTTATATTTCAATTCAACAATTAGTCACAAAACAAACGAAAAACTGGCCAACCATATGCACTTTCATGTAGAAGGCAATTATTTTCTACACAGTTAGCTACACTTTCCAGCATTTGAACTTCGTCAGTCATTATTTAGAAATCAAGTGGGTGAATCACTTTCAGTAAATTTCGGTCCTTCATTCGCAGAATACGAAAAGAGTACAGAAGATTAACATATCTGAGTTTCCCTCTGAAGAATTGAATTGCAGCGCAAATAATTCCAGATTAAGCCTTGTTAATTTAAAAATTGTATGCAGCGAACCACATATCAAACATTCCATGATCTTAGTACTATTACTATTACTATTATTATTATTCCCTTGAGTTCCGTGGGGAACCTACAGCTTCAACAACACATCTCCACTTTGTTTTATTTTCCGCTGTCCTCTTCAGCTGGGACAACGACTGACCGTAATCTCCCAATCTCCTCCTCGCATGATTTCTTCCATGTCACACTCACACGACCCACTTGTCGCTTCCCATTGCGACTCCACTCGAGGTTCCCATGATCTTGGAGTGTTGGAAATTATTTGTAGCCCTGAATGTGGATGCCAATACTTAGATATCTCCTCGAAGAATTCATCTCAACTAACTGTTTAACCTCAACTTTATAACATCCAACCATGATCTTCAAATAATCACGAGTATCGACAGTTGACATTTCTTTGTTGGCTCACAGTCTGGCAACAAAACACCGTGCTTTATCGCCCACTTTCAACTGCAGATAATATATGTCGGTAGATTTCATACTCGGATTAACAATCAGAAGTATCAGATTCAACTCTGAGAAACATCCGGTCGTGGTGAAGTCTTCAACCTCAACATACAGTAATAGAGGTGAGAATATCAACAGTTACAAGTGAATAAAACTTTCACCAAGGCTAAATAAGAAGAAGCCTCAGTGATGAAGCTGTGTGCGAGTACGAAGCCTCAATCCATACCATTCGGTCAACCGACTCATCTTAACACCTGAGTCTATCTTTCATAGTAGCTGAACGGCTGACCGCCTACAACTGCTCTGAATATTTTGAAATCCAAAGGAAAAAAGACATTCACGTTATGCACCGTTGAAATGTCTTACGACTGGTGTCTTATTCACAACTAGCGAGGATATCATGCACTCTTCAAGAGAAATTATTTGTTTTCACGAAGGCCAAAACATCATTACCTTCTCAAGAATGCTCCATGGAGCACTGACTATTGGCGTTTTCACCGCCCTTGGAATGCATATAGGATCTGAAATTGATTCACCGGAATCAACACTGTATCCCATTGTTATGTCTGAAGAATTTGAAAATCCACAAATTTCAAAACTTTTAGTACGTGAGACACGCGGATTAGGATTGTATGAATTATCCTCCAGTAAACTGGATGTAGAATTCGCGACAGAGGTTGTACTTGCTTGAGAAGAACACAATGAAATCGGAGTTTCTGAAGAAGGAGATGAAAGCAAACAGTAGGGTGATTCGCAAACGCGAAATCATAAACGAGAATCATCAAGAAAATTGAGACAAATAATCACATTCTACTTATGAGTAGTGAACACATGCCAAACAAATATTCCAGTCTACACTAGCAAACAAGCATTCTACCTACCTAGCTAGCTAGCTAGCTAGTTGGAAACCCGATCATAGGGAAACGACGCAATGATATCATGTCACAGTATGTGTGTCTTCTGAATGATCTCCCTATTCAAACACACGACATATGAAATAATCACACAGGAGAACTTACCTGACAGTGACCAAGAATGGTTTGATAATCTTCGAATGGTACGATCCACACCGCTATGACGGCGCATTCGTGACACAAATGCATTACTAACACTATTCACTGAATTTGAAGAGATCAGACCATTCATTATGTTAGGTTCACCACCGGTTACATTAGCTAATTCACATAAATTTGTAAAATAGTCTGGTAGAATACGTAGACCAGATACGGGGACTTCTCGATGATCACCATCATCAAAATCCACCGGAACAAGGTCACGATTTACATCTTCAGGTGAATCAGCTAGTAGGGTGGAAAAGAGAGAGATAGGGAGAACAGGTTACAGTGTTATGGAAGATCCTGTTCAAAGATACGAAATAAAAGATAAACTAACCACATGAACACAGTCTTGTTCTGTGCTAATGACAAACACGTGTGGTTGCGCAGTTTTCCTTTCCTATTCCAAGATGTGCTTCAGTATGTATGAAACCGTAATTCTCTTTGTCGTCAACATCCGAGGCTGATATTAAACTCACGATTAGTTTATAAGCAACTTTATTGATTATAGAATATGGAGAGGTTGAAGAGACCAATCAACCTCTTCGTAAAACATGCCACATTTTTGCTACACTGAAACCACATCAATTTTCTTTCAACTTCACCTAACCACCATCACTATAAGTAGTACGGATGACTTGAATAACATCAAACCTTCGATGAGAAGTATCAGCAAATAGAATTCCGTTAATGCTATATCCAAGAATGAATAAATACAAAACAGAGAGATGTTTGTAAGAAAGTAAGGAGCAGACTATATACAATTCATATGATGTACAGGGTAAAATATTTTTAAATATTCCCAGTTTTAATATTGGAATAAGACATATCAGCGATCAAAATTGCTTTTAATTACATCTTCTTCGGGCTTCACTCTAATTGGCATAACTTTATGAATAGAAAACTTAACCAATGACGATGAGTTTTTCGATCAAATAATAATGAGCTATAAATGTTTTGAAAGTCAGTAATAACGAGGCCAAACAAGGGAGAGAGGAAGGTAGAACAAACTCCCCTCGTATGTAAAGACACTAGGACTGTTCTCTTGAATTCCCATAGCCTCGCCCATATATGTATAAAAGGAGATAGATAACCTTGAAGGAACTTCTTCTATCCACTTGGTGACCGCTGTCAACAATCAAATGAGACAAAAAAGAAATTCTCATACATCCTACTCATATCTAAAACGAAAACTTTAGTAATTGGACGCTTGTTCATACCTACTACTACTACTACTACTGATTATATAGTTTGTATCCACAGTGAATCCTTCACTGGAATTTCATTTCTATAGATTATTCCAGGTAGAAGTACAGAGGTCAGAATACTTCGTCTGTTTACACAGACATCATTCATGATTAGACAGCGAAGTGTATGTGGACAAACGGAGGGTGGAAAAGACTTTTAATACGAACTCTTTGGCAGTGGACATTTGAGGGAAGTGATATTTGAGAGTATGCAGGACGTGCATTCATTCATTCATTCATTGATTCCATGCCTGCCTTGTTTTCAGTGGTGTAGATCATCGCAGTAGTTTCAGAGTAATCAATGTCTGTCTCACTTTGTCGACCCTTGAATACCAGCTGGCTTTGACATCCTCATTCATTCCACCTGACTAGAGCTGGAACGAATCTACTCATGTAGGTAAGTGAGTGAAAGAGATGACTTCTTTTAGATTTCACGCGTTGATGGCGGTGATACGTGATTTTTGTTGGCTACGTCAGACATCTTTATCACCTCTGTCATCTCTATGTTCACCTGAACTGCTGTTCTCAGTGTCGCTTCTGCCGACTGGTTGTCTTCCGCTTGCAAATCATCGAATTTGTGAGACGTGAAGTACATGGTATTCAACGAATTCAGATCTGCTCCCCTCAACGTGTGTCCGTCTTCTCACACGCCACACACCACACACACATGCACATGCACACGAACACACTCACACACACACAGTCTACCAGAAGATCTAATTCACCACAATCGGGAACAGCATTGCTGATAGTAGGCAGCCTTGTCTTACACACATGTTCAATTTAATCGCTTCACTGAGCAATCGGTTGTGCACTATTCGGAACGCAGAATCCTGCATATAACATAGCTGATGATCAGTGAGGCTATTAAGAAAAAGCACTGAGTACCACGTACAATTTTTCAAAGAATCTTTTAACCATCCACCCAATTCGTGTATTGGTGTTGTATTTGGCCACCATAACATACACAGAATTGTGCACTATCACTTTACAGCAGATAAAACTTTTGGAAGACACAATAATGTCATACAGTCAACTGGATGGCATTTATGAATCTGGGTGTTGAATTCTGTTCAAATTGTCATTCTCCTGTTGAATGATAGAATAAAACCATGTGCTATGGAATCGGCTTGTTGGGATAAGAAGGATCTTTTGCTGCTCAGTGAAAAGTTCAAGGTATACGACAATGATCGCTTACCTAGTAATGACAGATACTGACGCACACGAGTATCTACACTGTCGAGGACATCTTCAAATGACTATGTGAGTGTGAAGTGTGAGAATAGAAGGAGTGAAACACCAGAAACGCTGAAATAGGTTATGCACCGAATTGATATAATTACTCAGACAGAAGTGGCTTGCAAAGTATAACATAAGAGTGAACATAAGAGTTAAGTAATACTCATCAATGGCAAAAAGCAAGGAAGCGAAGGAAGGAATGTGATAAGGTTGTAATTGTTATTGAGTAATGAGAAGGAGGCAGTAAAATGAAAGTGGAAGTAAAATTAAAATATGTAGAAAATTTACAGGGAACGACTAGTGAAGAGGTGAAGACCAGGGTAGAATCAGACACTAGACAAACGTTTTCTGTTTGCAGACTTCGGCGTTGTGTTGACGAATCGCCAACACCTCCGCCATACACAAATACCGAAACCTAACTCTCTTCTTACCGTTCGGTCTCATCTTGTAGATAACATTGAAAGACGACTGTGGTGGAGCTGCGTGACCTGATTTCACCAATTGCTTGACAATTCGGCTAGTAACTGTCTTGCACTGTCATTTTGCTAATCATGCCGGATAATGTTCACAGATGAGTTTGGAGAGTGTGCGTTTTGTGTGGCCAATTCAACTAATTCCACAGGAACAAGTGAATTTTATCCTATCAAACTCCTCACTTCAGTCACTAATCTGATATGTTTCCACACTCGTTTCTACTGACCATTCTATTTATATACATACATTAGACAATCCATTTTATCACTTCACATCCACCTATTATAGTGATAGTGAAAATTTAACAAGTGACATGTCATTCTGTGACGTCAGAAGACAAGATCAGGCGACAAAATCGTTTTCGTTCCCCTGACTAGCTCTATCCATTTCTGGAGCTCGCTGACATTCACCAGCTTCTCTCTGTTCGCATTTTTGATGGTATATACGTGACTCCGTCTCGTGGTGTTTGTGTATGTTCCTTCCCACTTTGGTAGCAGTTTTCGCAACCCTGGCACGTATCCGCCGGTGTTTCGTTTATCTCTACATCTGACTTTGTCTCCTATCTCGAATCCGGGGTACTTCCCCTTTACCCTCTGTTCGGCCTCACAGCGTCCACTTTCTGCTCTCGTTTGGCGTTGTTGATGGCTTGTTTCCGCTCCGTCCACCATCTCGTCATACTCCGATGCTAGTGGAGGGGCCAGGTCTTGTTATGTATCGGTAGTCGTGGTTTCCTCCCATACATCAAGTGAAACGGTGATTTCTTCGTCGTTTCTTTGGCGGACGCACGATGTACTTCCACAAACAGTGGAAGCTCTGTTTCCCAGTTACCGCCCTTTGTGGCCAGCCACTCTTTCAGGGTGCGGTTATTTCTCTCCGTCACACCGTTTGTCTGTGGATGATATGGCGTTGTTCTAATTTTCTTGATACCTAACTCTTGCAACCGAACTTTAAACTCTTCGCTTTAAAAACACGAACCTTGGTCTGTCAATATCGCTTTTGGCACACCGTGGTTTGCAACGATATGTCGATTCACTGCTTCTGTCACCGCTTTCGCTCGTTGATCAGGGATCGCGACTGCATCTAGCCATCGTGTCCATTGTTCTGTCATGACCAGAAGATATTGATTGCCATTGGACGTTTTTGGAAAAGGTCCCATTACATCTACGGACCACAGGTCGCCTACTTCTGTCACTGGAATCAACTGAGGTGACCGTCGTATGTACTGATCACCTTTCATCAGCTGACATTGTGTACACGCTGTTATGTACTTCTCGACGTCTTCTCTCATTCCTGGCCAGTAAATGCTTTGTGGCAGGAGATCATTCCTTCTGGCAACACCTGTGTGTGATAGTTGGTGACATTCTTGTACCATCTCTTGGCGCAGCTTTGCATTGACGTATTACTGCTGAGCAGCTTCCGTCATCCTCCTGCCACGTCAACATTCCGCAGGCATTCAAGCTTAGCCGGTCTTTCTGTTCGAGTAGGAGATTTAGCTCACGATTCGCTGTGGGCCGATTCACCATTTTTTCATTAGATATCACTTGTATGTCAGTTTTCAAGGTGTCGTCTGATCTTTGATTCTGGACAAATCTTGCTGGTCTGGTCTTGCTCTAAGCCATTTACATTGTATGCTATTTCAGGTAACTCTACCTGAATATTGGAATAAGACATATCAGCGATCAAAATTGCTTTTAATTACATCTTCTTCGGGCTTCACTCTAATTGGTATAACTTTATGAATAGAAAACTTAACCAATGACGATGAGTTTTTCGATCAAATAATAATGAGCTATAAATGTTTTGAAAGTCAGTAATAACGAGGCCAAACAAGGGAGAGAGGAAGGTAGAACAAACTCCCCTCGTATGTAAAGACACTAGGACTGTTCTCTTGAATTCCCATAGCCTCGCCCATATATGTATAAAAGGAGATAGATAACCTTGAAGGAACTTCTTCTATCCACTTGGTGACCACTGTCAACAATCAAATGAGACAAAATAAAAATTCGTATACATCCTACTCGGCCTTCTTCGAACCAGGAAGCAAAATCTTTCGTAATGATGAGATTCTTCATGTGTCTAGATGTTCTCCCTACATATCTCTCTCTACACGAACACCTTAATGTGTAAGGGCAAATAGGATCGGCTAGACACCTAGGCAGCTTATCTCTCGCTTGTGCAATCATAACTGGTTGGCAGCTGGAAAATGACAAACAGAGAGTGGCAGCAGTATAAGTCCCTCTTATGGCTCTCTCTAGATAGTCTTAGATGTAGGGCTAGCCACTACCAGCCACGTCTCCATCTACTTGCAGTTTCAGGAATAGTTGTTTCTGTTTCATCGTCGTCTGTTTCTCTTCACCATACCTAGTGTTCATGTGTCTCCTTACAAATCTACTGGGATAACCGATTGGCACCAACGCATTTCTAATGTATCTCAATCCATTTTCTAGGGAGTCATCTATACAGACCATCCTTAATCTACTCGTCAGGGACATCTCACCAAATTGATTTTGTCTGGGATTGGTACAAAACTGAAGAAATATGTATAATATCCTACAGACTTCGGTTTTCTATAGATATCTCTCTTGAGTGAACCATCTGGTGTCTCTTCTGCTCAGTTGGACATCAGGGAAGTGTAATCTACCATCATGTTCTTTTTTCACAAGTGAACATGAGCGATGGATTTGCATCATTAAAATTTCATAAATATTTCATTCTTGTTAGCTTTCTCATCAAGAATAATAATAAACGGAGCATCAACATAACGAAAATAAGAATACATTGTATCTATTACTCGTTTCAATTAAACGGAGTGCTTCTCATTAATAAGTGTGTGTACGTCGACAAAATGAAACAGTTTCTAACCGATGAATTAAAATGCCAGAAGCTTAACAACCCAAAAGATTTGGACTGAAAGGCTGAAAAGCAGATAACAAACACGTTTAAGCAGCTGAGGGAAAGTGTAGTAACCTGAAAGGCAGCTTAAAACCGTCATAAACCTACTGAAAGTAATACTTCACGATTGTATGGTTTACTCAAAGTGCATAAACCAGTACTTCCTCAACTTCCCGTCCCAGACATGTCTAATTTCACCTACGGTGGAGTGGAAAAGTGGCTATAACGTATAACTGCTAACTTGACTGATCAACAAAACTGACTGAAATGGAATGTGATTTAGAAATATTTATAGTGACAGACTTAATGACGATTGAATGCAAGTTTCCTAAGGTGAAATGCACAAAGTTAATTATTGTTGCATCAACTTTCATTGATTCTTAAAATGTTCACAAGACCATGTGTCAAACAACTCAACCGTTTACAACCAACACAACTTGGCTTTTTCATGAAAATACTGTCATTCTAAAGTGTCAACTATGAATGTGGAAAATCACTATCTTAGCAAAAATCTCACATCACAGAGTAAAGGTAGCAAGGTAAGTAAGTAAGTAAGTATCAAAGCATATGCGAAATACTTTGAAATCTCCTTTGACAGTATAATGAAACAATGATTATTCATTCACATAGTTAGTATCCAAAGACTTACCTTTAGCGACTGTTCCAGGATAAAGGTTGACTCCCAACTTATCACTCCACGCAGCACACACACGTGTTCCCGGCGGGACATGATCAATTGAAGCAGGGAAAACCTCTGGGACAGCTTGTTGTACAACTTGCCATCCATAGAGTAATAGGTCCATTTGGCGTCTTCTGTTTGAACCAGATAATGTGTTTCCACAATTCGTATTGCTGGTGGTAGATGGCGTCTGTAAACAACCACTCGGTGATGACAATGATGACGACTGTCGACGTGATGACGTCCCATTGGTGTTATTACTATGACTAGATGTTGTGAAATGATTATCAGTAGCAACACGTAGGCCAGTTGAGCGATTACACTTCTCACTGTCCAAATGTATACGGAATACTTGATCACGTAGGCAATCACTAGACAGGCTAGTTTGAATAGCTAATGGAGAATGGTCTGTAATTGTTCGAGGATAAGAATGTATAAGAGAAACAAAAGTAAATACCAACCAACTCCTGCACAAATGTGACAAGAAAAACCAACCAATCTCAAAATACTATAGAAAACAATTTTCAGGTAGATTTTGTCAGAAACGTGCATCAATTAAAGAGTCGTTGAAAATGAGAAAGCACCGGACACCAAATACAACTTAGTTTGGGACTATTCAGCAGGAAAGTCAACAATTGTCTATGAGCAATCCTCAATCCTCTGCAAGTATCGTCGTTCGTGCTCAACTCGGTGGGTTCCACAAGTCACAACTTCTAGTCGGGAGACTGAGAAATCCATGTGGAATTTAGTCACTGCTGTGCTGATCACAGTTCGATAAACATTTGTCAAGGCCGCAGCATTGATAGCAATTCATAGTGGGCTTGCATTAATATGTTTTCCTCTTGTACACCGTCATTAACCCTATCGCATCACATCAGTCAACACAAGCGAATAATGTTTTGCTTCTGTCTTTCAGCTTTCAGATAAGGAAAGACTTTGAAATAATAGAGAAGATTTGTAGCTCAAGTGGATGACTTGCAATTAATAGTGTTCCCTGAGCTGGTTGGTTTAGTTGCGAAGCTTTCGTCGTCACTTTGTGCTAAATATGGCGCTGAAGATGTTGTCCAGAAGGACGACGAAAGCTTCGCAACTAAACCAACCAGCTTAGAGAACACTATTAATTGCAAAAGGAAAGACTTTCTGCACATAAACTAACTACTAGATTATTTGTTCAGAACAGCAGTAAATACTACCACTTACGGTGCAAAGATTTATGACGCTTGTATAAATCATAAAATACTAGTCAGAGGTAAGCGAAGAAGTGACAGCTTAAGTGTATGTGAGTTTATCATAATTCCAGTGGAGATTTCTTTGTGTAAACCAACAAAGGAGGGATATAATTGGGGAAGGTGGTCATGTCGCCAATGTTGACACCCAAGTGTCAGTTAGTGTCATTCGACTGAGAACGCAGAATTCAAGCGAAAAGCCTGTTCAAATTGTCACACATCCACACACACTCTATCCAACAAAGAAACAAACATAGCACAAAGAAATTCTCGGGTTCGAAGCACAAACAGAAGGCTGAAAGGTATCAACAGTCAAACCATCTCAAGTGGGGTAATAATGTATGTATACTGTATGGTTGAATATTTCCAAACTAGAAGGAAACAGTTCTCCAGTACTCCATAGTTTTTCAATACTTGTCTAACTGATGTCAGTCTTGTCATCTAACTCAGATTTTCATTCCACCTATAATCATCCATCGCTCAATAGTACACATGGCTAATTACAAGAAAAAGAATGACGCGAATAACCAGCTATTATGTAATATTTGCTTCAAGTAGTTCAAGGTATGCTTAAATTGAAACCTACTGTTCACATTGTACACATAATCTGGAACGCATTCGATTAGTCCGAATTGATTCCTTCTATCCAATGACATTTTTCGAATTTCAATTTAGATCAGGTAAAACAGTTGAGAGGCAAACAGTTGGTCACAATGTTGTTGGAAATCACTTAATAAGTGTTTTCCGATGTATGACTTTAGCTACTTATTTTGATTAAATGCATTTCCTCATCATTCCTACTTAATCACCACCTAGACACGTGCTAATAAATAACAACATTTATACACATAATAACTGAAAGATAATATTTTCATACCTCCTTCCATATATATGGTTCCAGGAAGCAGATAAGTATCTTTTATAACCAATACTCTTGTTCCATCTGACAGATCTGACAAGTCAAGCTCATTTCGTCGAATTTCTGGTGTCGATAGTGGATTGTTTGTTCCTCCTGATGATGAACAATCATCTCTTGGGATGACAGATGAAGGAGTCTAAAAGATTTGAATCCAAGCGAAGAGATAAACAACAACACTGAATTAAATGTTTCACTATTATACCGACAGTAATTTTCAAATAAGCATCAAACTCTCAGATAATATCAATTTATTCACAATGATTAATAAAACAGGGGAGTAGTGTGTGGAGTCTGTGGGCTAAAACAGAAGAGTGATGTCACAGTAGATACTAATACGTGATTTCATAATATTTTACAAAAGTATGGGGAGTATCTCTAAAGTATTCATCAGCGGTACAGTGATAGAATACTCACCAACCACACCTCACGTGGTGCGGGGTTCAATCCACCCCTTTTACTGACACATCCTTAAACCTCAATTAACCGGTAAACAGGGATGGTCGGGCGTGAACCAAGAGACCCCACTTCATAAAAAAGACACTACTGCTACTGTGACTTCAAAGCTGAAGTTGTTCTGGCACCCTCCTCTTCCCAACCTGACATTCATGAATTAAGATGAACGTAGAAGTATCATTTGTATTTCTTTGGTGGAGATGGATACAAAGGATTATGCAAGTGTTTACTCAATGACAGTCACCAAGTAAAGTGATTAACACTTCAAAGAACACTTTACGCTGAAAATATCGAAGAATAGGGACCCAGTTATTCTACAGTCTATGGCTAGACTGAATAAAAGTTTACCAGTGTGAGCGTCATATTTGATTTCAACAGGATGATGGTGACGGAATAGCTTATCAGTCAAAGAAGTCACCTTTCTTTACACATATATATCATTCACACTGACATAAAAGATACATTTCAGGTTTAATACTTGTCTTGTTATAGTGTCGTAAAGTATCTCTATTCATAATTACAAGGAAGGGAACTCTTCAGCTGATTGACAGCAGACCACTGATCCATTCAGTACTATGGATGACGTTTTGACTAGTTATCTTTCTGTGAAGAGCCAGGAAAATTATATTCCATATTACTAGCACAGTTGATTCCTTCATTTCTTCCACTTTTACTGCTTACGCCGCCTAATCATGACCAATGGAAATCTTTGTTATTATATAATTTTAGGTATTTTGCCTCTTAATTGTGCTGCTCACAGTTCGAAATTATTATCTCTCTTGTTATTATTATTAGTGTCCCCCTGGGTCCCGAGTGGAACACAGGGATTCAATGGCATATCTTCTTGTTTATTCTATTTTCTGCGGTCCTATCCAGTTGGTCCCAAGGTTATACATAGTCTCTCATCTCCTCCTCACTATACGATCTCATTCACGTCACCCTCTCAACGACGACCCACTCATGGTTTCCCATTCGGCCTCCACTCGAATACTGGCCTTCATTGACCACGATGTCATTTGACGGTCTCCTCAGTATGCGCACCCAATCCATCTCCATTTTGTTCTAGGTATTTGTTAAGTAATCGGTTGTTGGTTGGTTTGCTAATTCTTTCTAGTCGGTCATTTAATCTTCAATATCGAGCGAAGGCAGCAATCAGCTCTGCAGATTTAGTGATTTACTAACATTCTGTTATTTTCAAATGTCAGTTGCAATAATGATCATTGCATTTAATTCAGGCTGAAGTTGATGTTAGATTAATCTGGAAATAAGAGTCACAGAAACTAAGTACCTCTTCATATCACCAGAGTTCAGCAGTGTGTAGCAAAGCCTGAGACAAAAGTATTTCTTTTTGAGCCTATTGAGACGTAGATGGGTATTGATATCAATAAACACATCTTCCAATCGCAAATATGTACTCCAAAAGAAGTAGGAACGGTAACTCTAAGTTAAGGCAACGCAAACGACAGACCTAAATAAACGGACAGAATGAGTAACTTGATATGATTATGAGCAATAGTTTGTGCTCAAAACGTCACCAGTTAATATTACTGTATAACACTGTGTGATTTATCAAATTAAAATCTTATCCATAACGGACAGAATGACTTTGATCAACCAATCAGACGAGCCCCTAGTAAATATGCGTAATTTAAAAAGGAAGTCAGTATTCACTTTCTCGTATGTGTTCAAAGAAAACCTCGTACGCTACATTTACTCAGTTACATAAAATTCTTATTTCTATGGAGTTTCTTGCCAAAAACTTGTGGAACTTTTGTAATTATTTGCCTTTTGAACACTGAATCTGTGGATATAATCCTTTTGACCGATAATACCTATAACTATCTGCTTGCCATTTTGTGACTTTCTAACATTAACTAATATCTATAATTGTATATATTGATGGATTTACATGTCTAAGTCGGCTCAAGTCAGTGAGCCTATGATTTTGGTATCATTTTTGTTAAATGTATCTGACTACTAAGGTTATTTTTCATTATTCTTATCGCTGCCCTTCCTGTTGTGAATTATTTTCTTTTTGCTGATGTTGTTCTGATTACTTTATTCCTTGTTTTCCTGATTTTAAGTGGAGCAACCCACAAGGTTGCTCCTTGGTAGGCTATATTTTAATGTAACAAACCCCCCTTTCAGGCGTGAGGCTAGCAACCCCACCCTGTAAACAAAGTTGCTACAGAAACTTCAGCAAGATGAATCTCCTCGCGTCAAAAGAAAAAAATCTGTGTAAGCACATGGAACGTCCGCACCACGTATGAGATTGGCAAAGCTGCCCAGATTGCAATCGAAATGAAAAGATACGGAATTCAAGCAGTGTGAATATGTGAAAGCAGGTGCAATGGGAATGGACTCACCAAATGGTCAACGGGAGAGTCAGTGATCTACTCCAGTCACCCAGAAGACAACCACATGCACACCGAGGGCGTGGCTATAATGGTGTCAACAACGACAACGAGGGCCCTCATGCAATGGGAGGCCATCTAGCCCGGGATAATGATCGCCAGATTCAACTTCAAAGGAAGGAAAGTGTCAGTTGTACAATGCTATGCACCTCTGCACAAACAACGCAGACCTTGAAAAGAAAGAAGAATTCTACAGACAACTACAGATAACAATGGACAATACTCCAGTTGGTGACATTAAAATACTAATGGGAGACATGAACGCCAAACTGGGATCAGACAACACAGGAAGAGAACTCATCATGGGTAGAGAAGCTCTCGGATAAATGAATGAAAATGGAGAACTCTTCGCCGACTGCTGCGCCGTCAATGAACTGGTGACTAGCGGCAGCGTATACAAACACAAGGATATCCACAAGGCTACATGGGTGTCACCAGATAAGCGGACCAAAAACCAAATTGACTTCATCTCAATGTTGGTCAAGGAAGTGGAGGCGCAGCTTACTGGACACAAAAGTAAGGAGAGGAGCAGACGTTGGCTCAGACCACTATCTCGCACAAGGGACAATCCAAATCAAATTAAGAGCTTTCAAAGAAACAGGAGCTGCACAGAGACCACAAGCCAAGTTCAATACTCAAAAGCTGAAGGATCAGGACACAAAGGACATCTTCACTGCAAACATAAGGAAAAAGGTGGAGACACAAATTAACACTAGCGAAGAGGTCAGCATCGAAAAGCACTGGGACAACCTGAAAGCGGTGTGAAGTCAAACTTGCATGCAAGTTCTAGGTAGAAAGAAGAGACAGGACAAACAGCGGCTCACTACTGACACATGGAGACTAATAGAAGAGAGAGGGATGGTGAAACAAAAGATTATCCAGTGCATCGACGAGCAACAAAAACAGGAGTTGAATGCAAGCTACAATACATTGAACAAAAGAGTAAAGAAAAGTGCCAGGAAAGACAAAAGCAAATATTATGAAGCTATGGCAAGTGAGGCAGAACAAGATGCAGTGCAGGCAAAGGAGACCTCCCAACACTCTATCAAACAACTAGGTTCCTGTCGGGGAAAAGTTCGACACAGTGAAGGATGACAATGGGAGGTGAATCAACAAAGAGGTGGAGCAAAGGAAACACTGGGTTGAACACTCCTAAAGACCTCTAAATTGACGGCGACCTACAATGCGCCCGATAGTACCAACACCGGAAGCAGGACTACCAGTGGACATCAACCCTCCGACGAGAACAGAAGTCCTGAAGGCAATCAAGATGCTAAGAGCTGGAAAGGCAGTAGGGCCAGACGGAATCTCAGCAAAGGCATTGGACATCAGCGGACTTGATGACACCACTACTGGAAAGCGGGCAAGGTACCTGAAGATTGTAAGAAGGGCTACTAATTCAAACTACCGGAGAAAGGAGACTCAAGTCAATGCAAGAACTGGCGCAGAATTATGCTCCTGTCCATCCCAAGCCAAATTCTAACCCCATCATCCTGGAGAGAATCAAACACGCAACCCTGAATGAAAAACTTCGACTAAAACAGGCTGGATTCAAGAGGAACAAGTCATGCATCGATCAAACTGCAACACTGCAGATCATCATTGAACAGAACTTGGCTCTCTACCTCAACTTCTTCGACTTTGAAAAGGCCTTCGACAGCATCGATCGAGTGGTGATTTGGCAAATACTTCGCTACTATGGGGTACCGCCAACAATTATACATCTCATTCAACAGCTGTACGATAATGCTGCGTGTCAAGTAATCCACAATGTGAAACTCACAGTATCCTTCGAAGTGAAGATGGAAGTAAGACAATGCTGGCTGGCTGCCTACTATCTCCAATGATTTTCCTGATTGCAGTAGACTGGATAATGTGACAGGCATTGGCGGGCAGCGAGGAGACAGCCACAAAATGGACCCACACAAAATACTTGCAGGATCTGGACTACGTCGATGACATATATCTGATTTCCCACAAACTGGAAGATATGCAAGTGAAAAGCAACAAGTTGACAGAAGAAGCATCAAAAATGGGATTCCAAGTAAACATAGAGAAAACAGAGGTAGGTGATGAAGATTCCTGACCAACAGCAACGGCAACAGGAACAACAACAGACAACAATCAGCGTAAATGGAAGGAATCTGAAATAAGCAACCTCCTTCACTTACCTACCCACGTGGGAAGCATCGTTTCAACTACAGGCGGACGAAACTGACAAGGATATCAAAGGGGGGATCGGAAAAGCAAGGCAAGCTTTCAATACTTT